AATGGATTTGGGGGTTGGGGTTGGGAAATCAGTGGTGAAAACACCATTTGATTTACCTGGTTTCCCAAAGAAGTAGGAATGCAGAAGAGTTGTTGATGGGAGAGCAAAAGAAATATTGTTAACTGAAACTGCAAATTTTGTGCCATTTGGTCCTTGGCAAGTTTTGTTAGCAGGGCAAGGACTCGATCCAAGTCGTATGGTGAAGAAAAACTTGTTTTGCATGGTCTGTGGAACATCTGCTGGAAATTTGGTTGTGGCTAAGCTACGAAATTTCCTGGTGAAGTTTGCAAGAAAGCCAGTGGCATTCAGTAGTGCAGGCAGGGTTGGATTTATGACCGTTTTGTTTGCGTGGGAAGCATGTTTTTGGCATTCAAGGATCCTGGTAATAGTAGAATAAGGTACCTAACCCTGTAAAGTAGGGTGTGGCAGGCGACAGCCATGATGAAGGTGACAGTTGGAGAGGCTGGCTTGGCTTTTAGAAGCACATTGGTGGTCTGGCTTGGGGTTATAACAACAATACTGGTCTCGAACGATTTGATGTTTACCGTGTCAATTTCAACAATATAAAAAATACTTCTTCCTTTCTCCTCCTCCCTCTTCCTCCCCTCCCCTTTGCCCAAAAACCCTCCCCATCCCGCAATGAGAAGCTCTGATCGCAACTGGCTTCTGGAAGGGAGGTGGAGGGTTTTGCAAGTAGGAAAAATGGGAGGGAAGGAAGAGGGAGGAAAAGGGAGGAGGAGAGAGGAAGGAGGGGGTGGTGATGGATGATTTTTTTAATTTTAAAAAAAATACCCCAATAATGCAAAGCCTTTTTCCCCCCTTGTGTCAACACCATTAGAAATGGATCTTTACTCTGTATTACTACATAATCTTAATCTTAGCCAGCCCACTTTTCACTTACCGCTTAGTCTTTTCCATTCCATAAACCAAAAAGAAGAGCTACCCCTCATGAAATTGAAAAGAATCAGAGGGTACACATATCATTTAACCTCAAGGTAGAGTTCCAAGGCCGGACTTGATAAACAAAATTTTAACTGAACAATTACAAGGAATGTTAATTGTTCAATCAGCTAAAAACTTTTCAGTCCTCAGACTGGGCGTCAATCTAAAATCCAACAGCAATTCCAACAATCTGCATCATCCGTACACGAAATACATAACCAAGGAGCATCCCAACCTAGGGATACTATATTTGTGACAGAGCTCCATAAACAAGATGAAAAAGTCGTACATATGCACTAATAGTGAACGTATGAATTCACTAAAACACGTCATATGGCATAGAGACAAACAATTTACTGACAAGAACGTTAATAGAACAGTTAACCAAGTTAAACTTTCTGTCTTCGAGTCCTCCATGCAATCTGAAATGATACAACACAAAAGTCATCACAAAGATGTAGAGATTAGTTGTTTGTGGCGCAAAAATGAACACTATAGATTGTTTATTTAGATGGAAGCTGTGGTCATTAGAAATTGCTAACTTATGGGAATCAAACTTTATCTTAAGAAGCATGTGGTTATTAGAAGCATATCAAGCACAAAGAGAAAAAAGCCAGAAGAACCTTTACCATGTCCTTGTTCACATTGATGGCTTTAGATGCCGCAACTTTTGATCTTCGTATCTTCTTAGTATTCTCTGCAGCTAGAAGTCAGAGATGTCACACTACATATCCATATCACCAACATAATATGTTATCTGCACCCTTCAAAAGTTATTCAAAATCCTTAACGTAACTTCCCCTGTAATGTTTAGTTTTTAATAGAACCTGTTAGCTGCTCTCTAATGGAAACTGTAGTTCCACAAAGTATCATGCGTTGACCAAGAACATTGACCGATATATATCAGAGAGAAGAAAATAGTATTAAAGCACACTAAAACATAAGTAATGTTCAGAAGGCAGTGCAGCAGTAGAGGTGCACCACAAAATAATGGCCAACGGAGCCAACAACAGTTAAGTTATTGGCTTGACAAAAAAGAGATACAGGTGTTGAATTTTATACAAGATGCTTTCATGTTATATAAATTTTCAAGATAAACTGAATTATTGTGATTTTAATTAAGACATATCTAGAGATTACCAGGGAGAGGAATCTCTTCAGCAAAAAATTTTGTCTTCTTGAGTGAGTTTCCTTCGCAATCAGAGTCACATGCACCAGAGGTTTCCCTTTTGCTGTGGACAGAAGAGTTCTCCCCATCATTGCTATAATCATCCATGTCAAATCTTGTTAAAAATAATATATTTTCGACGGTGGAACGCAAATATATGGGTAAAAGCAACCATTTATCATGAAGGATAATATGGAAAGACATAATCTCTCATAGGACCTATTTGAGCTACACATCCTATAGCCATGACAGTTGTAATGCCAAAAATACTAGTAAGCAATTGTGAATCAAAGCCAAATATATCAAAGGTACTTTCCAGTAAGGTGGAAGCATATACATATACAAGGGAAATTTCAGATTGATAACCACAATGTAAAGATTTTGCGAATCAGGTATTCCGATACACGTGATTAAAGAAGTGAAAATAAAAGGAAGATGACGTGAAAGGCTAAATAGGTTTGAGGGAAGAGGCACCTGCATCTTGACATGATGGAGCAAGAGAATAGCATAAAGAGCTTGGGTCCACAATATTAAAGGAATGTCTTAATCTTCAGTTTCAGGTATAATCCTAGCAATACTTGTCTTTTAAAAAGGAAAAGAGAGAAAAAAAAAGTTGCGGAGTTTTGCTACCTTTTATCAATAAAGTCCAATGAGGAAAACAATGGAGGTATGAAGATTGAACATTCTTCTGGTTCATTAATTCACCATCAGAAGGAAAATGGATCTAACTTTACAGTTTTACAGAATAAGGGCTCGTATAAGCGGATAGAGATATAAGCAGGCAGATCCACAAGACATCTTTTAGGATCCAGATCAGATAGATTGACATGTGCATCATCCGGTCCATATTCCTACAGGCCTAAAACATGCAGATGCCTTGCTGGACCCACATTGTGTGAAATGTAATGCCAAAATATGGTACTGAGGTATTAGATGTTCAGTGAAGTTGGCCAACCACCACATGTGAAAAGTCTTGTACCACAATGACACAAAGTTTCAGTAACATAAATCACCAGATAGATGGAACACATTCATCCATAGTTCACTCCAAAACCATTTCAAAGGATTCAATATATTTAGATGTAGCACCATCATTAGGCGGACTCTTGCCTCAATTCTCAAGTTTGATAGTTAATATTCATCAAGAGTCACTATGGCTATTATCCACTTTAATTATTTTAACATTTTTGCTACACCATTATAGTGAAGGAAAATGATCTCACTGCAAACAGACCAGTCACACCAAAACTGAAGCTGGAAAAATAAACAACAACAAAATTAGGGAAAAAATAAAAGTGAAACACTGAATTATTGATCATAAGGAAACCAAGAACTGATTTTCCATAAAGTCATGCTTGAGTTAAAGTGTCAATAAGGAAAGAAAGTTCTTCAAAATTTCCAAAGTTATGAATCTATTCCTGTGTGAGAGGCACTACTAGAACCACAGTAGATATGCACATATGAGCCCAGAATAAGCTTTTTATTCCTTTGGGTCAATCGTCAACTCTACTGCTCCTACTCCTACTCTAACCTGTTTAAGGGAGGGCCCAACTAGGCAAAGGAGGGCTAGAAGGAGCAGTTTCCACCTCTGGACCAAAGGGGTGCACTACAGTACACCATTCAGATTTGACTGCAGGGTGCAGAGGTTTGAACCCCAGACCTGCAGCTAGGCCTGCACCTTATGCTTCACTTGGTGGCCAACTCACCTAAAGCAAGTCGGCTTGAGCCCACAATAAGCAAATTTTTTATATACTCACACAGAAACACACTTCGTGTATTGTCCTTTTTGAATATGTCTGTCTGCGCATGAGAGAGAGAGAGAGAATGCACTGGGCTGTGGTGCATAGGTGAAGAAGTTGCAAAATGCCAGAAACGGGGGTAGAGTTTCACAGATTTAAATGTAGAGAATACTAGAGGTGCGATCCAATGGCTAATAGTTATAAATACTTTTAAGGCGTAATAAACATAAAATAACTAATACACACATACATAATGAGGTATGCTCCTTGTCACAGGGGAACAAGCAGATCTAACCAATCTACTTGTGAAACCTATTAATCAAATATGGGTTGGATCTCATGAACAGGTCTAGCGCTAAATTTATATTGTTTTTTACATTACTGGAACTGGACCAATCCAAATCCAAACCAGGACCAATAATGGTCCTCTAGTGCACTACCGAAGTTTTTAGGCCAAGACTGAATATACATTATTCAAAAGAAGCTTTGGCCCAAGGTCATATATATTTCTTTTTAGTGTTCAATGTTAGATTTAGGCATCAATGTTTCCTTTGTGTCTTGTTGAGTTTAGTGCTTGGCATATTTTGTATTTTCAGCAAATGCAGAACAAGTCAATGCTTCAGTCAAACAAGTCATTATAGGTCAACCAAAATGGTTAAATTCAAACTCATGAACTAAAATTTTGAATCAAAGGAGATATTTGGTTTTAAGATCTCAGTCCCAACGAATAGATTATTATTGCTATCATATGTTTAATTGGTTTAAATCAACGGATGTTAGAATTGATTTGTGTATTAAACCAACAAGCAACTGGCAATTCATCCTGATTGCCTACTAAATTTGGTGGTATCAAATTCACCAGACTAGCTGCATTTTAATTAAGAAGTAAAAGAACAAGAGAAGTCTGTTACATAAAGACAGGACAGTGTTTCACAACTGTGCAACTTCACCTGCCGGTTCTCACCTATAATGAGTTGAAGCTCGCATTTGTTGGTGCTCAACATCTGATGCTTCACCCTTGTCTTTGTTTTCCTATAGTAGTCCGACAAATCACAGTAGGACAATCAGCAATGGTAGAAAGAACAAAATTTTCCAGGCACTTAGCCAAAAAAAATTTTTTCTAGTCATTTTAGAGTTAAATAATACATATACCTTGGCTAAATTAGCTTTCTTGTGGTTGGCTGTTGACAATTTGGCAACTTTATCGGTATTGCTGTTGTGTCATATTCATGTCCCTCTCTTGTAAACAGCTTGGAAAGTCTTCATTCAAGCCCAATGTGCGTTTTGTTGCTACAGAGTCACAAGAAGATCCAACTCGTTCTTTACTCATGATGGATTCAGATATTACACTTGCATGCATTTCATGCTGATTATCGACAGAGGACTCATTGCGCACTTCAACAGTCCCTCCAGAATGAACCTCCTGATGCGTCGTTTTCTGCAAACCCTCTATCCAAATTCTTGATGCATCAGCACTCTTAGATAGTGTCAAGTTCGAATTGGCAGATTTGTTGGCATCAGTAGTCAAAGAACTCTTTAAACGTTGTTCACTATGTTTCTTGATAGTACAAGAAGTCTGACAAATAAGAACAAGACAAATATGCATAATTACTGTAAGTATAACAGCAGATGAATAATGAGAAGAACATGATTAATTTACTTGAGAAGTCTGAATTCCAAAATTACGAGTCAACTTCCTAATAATACTTGCCCCAAAGATTTCCCTGATGATTCACATATGGCACAAGCATCATGGGTTTGGGTCCCACTATTGCCCAGTATTAAGACAAAAACATTATTTGCCCCAAATTTGGAAGGCAGATAGGGAGACACGGTAGACACAAAATGCTTCAGATATTTTGTTTTGGGGGGGGGGGGGGGGGGAGAGAGAGAGAATAAAAGATTGCAGTAGTGTAATGACAAGTTCTGTGGAGAAAGAAATTAGAAATGGTATCTCATTTTGTTCCATGCCAGTAATCTGGGTCTGAATCAGTTTGAATCTAGTTTCAGTGGAGCCCACAGCTGAAAGAACCCAAAGTTCTTGAAAACTAAGATCACTTCTGTTTGTGCGTCAAGTTAAAATTACTAAACAGAAGATTAAATATTCTGAAGGCCTGACTGAAACTCATTCACTAGTAAACCTTAATCAACCATTAACATGAAATTCCAAAAAGCATTCACATAAAAAAATCAGTAAGATGCCAGATTTAGATTTCTCGCCTCAGTTTACCTTAATATATGTTGACAACAATAAACTTAAAGTTTATTCTAATACTCCAAAACTGTAATTTTTCCTGAGTTTATCTCGATGTATAATGACAACAAACTTTAAAAGTTCACTGGTATATTTCCAAAATTTAAGTAGTATTAAAAGTTCCATTTTTGACTTTAATATATATCTGAGAGTGTTCATAATACATACCTTAACCCTCCTCAACAGTGTATAAAACAGTTCAAACACTGTTTCTTTTAACACAATGGTCATGTCAGGAGCTTAAACTAAAGGGGGATAACCCTCTGCACTAGCTTAACAACTTTCCTTGTTGACACCCAGAAAGTTCTTGCTAATCCCCACAAAGACTAAGGATGGCAACCCTCCCTAGCCCCCTGCCCCGCTTCCCCCGCGGGGCTAATAAAATTTGTTATATAATTTTATTATAGTTAAATTTTAGCAAATAATCAAGTATTAAAATATCAATACATCACCATATTCATTGTAATTTCACAATTGAAACTTACAAAAACAATCAAACAAAAGTTATTTGAATACAATCTAACATGATGAAATAAATACAATTAAAGTAGTCAAGTTTTCACTTTTGACACAAATCCAATCACTAATTCATTATTATGCTTGTGCTTTTCATTTTGAGAAAAAGATGTTATTGTATTAAGTGTAATTAGGGATTTAATATAAATGTATTAGTAAATTTAATATAACTAATTAATATTTCTATTAGTAGACATATATAATTATTAGTATAATGATAATATCAATTATATTACATATACTAATATACATTATATAATACATATAACTAATAATATAATTATCATAAGTTTCTAACTAATTAAATTAAATATTATATATATAATTATATACATATATATTTATATATTTATATATTTATTTTTTTTAAGCAGGTGGCAGGGCGGAGGATGGCGCATGAGTACACTCCCCCGTCCCGTTTCTAAACCGGGGGGGGGGGGGGCATTAGCCCCCCGTGGGGCGGGTGCCGCACCCATTGCCATCCTTAACAAAGACCACACAGATGCTAACTTAATACGAAATGCAATGACCCCTACTCGCATAATAACTTGCCTTATTGAAGCCCTGAGAGGCCCAGTTAATCTTGTCATGGAACCACATGGAGCCTGATCAAATACCAACTGGAATGACCCAGAAAGGCACTACCATAACAAAAAACTTTAAAAATCATCACATATATAGCATACCTAATATGGCCAAGTGGGTCAAAGTTTTGTCTTTCGCGATGCTACCATAGGTGAGAGCAGAAACACAAGTTCTCATTGTTAGGAGAATATTAGTATTCTTATAGATAATAAATTAGTAAGGGTATTCTTGTAAATAGTCTGTTAGGTTTGTACTCCTATAAATACTAGTTGGTCACTCATAATAGTGTGACTAGATGTTTTCCTCCCAAGATACCTGTTGACATGGTATCAGAGCAAAAGTCCTAGGGTTAGGGTAAAACATCTAGCAAATCACTGTTCACGCCGCACTGTTCATAGCGGCACTGTTCACGTATACTGTTCACGGCACTGTTCACGCCGATACTGTTCACGTAGTTACTGTTCATGCCGTTACTGTTCACGCGTTTGTCTCAAGTTTTGACCCGTTCTTTCGTTTGACGTGCTATTCGCTATGGTTGAAAGGTTTGTTAATACGGTTATCACTGACCAAGTTGAATCAAGTTCTTCAACACATGGGTCCCAGAAAACTGTTACTATATCTGAGGAAGATTATGTTAAATTCCTACAGTACCAAGCTACAAATCACGCATCTCTTCCCTCTGCTTCTTTAGCACAAAAAGGTAATGACCCATGGATTATTGATTCCGGGGCTACTGATCATATGTCAGGTACCTCTAAAATTTTTTCTAATTTTCAAGAGTCAACTCCCTTTCCTCATGTTACTTTAGCTGATGGATCTACTACTAAAGTTAAAGGACTAGGCACTGTAGAAATTAATCCATCACTTCCGCTATCTTCTGTTCTTTACGTACCCAATTTGCCATTTAATCTAATGTCTGTTAGTAAGCTCACTAAATTTCTACAGTGTACAGTTACTTTTTCTCCTGATTCTGTTGTCATTCAGGATTTGAAGACAAAGAGGATGATTGGTGGAGGGCATGAGCATAATGGTCTTTATTTTCTCAACTTCAATGGTCCGATAGCATGTCCTGCTACTGTTTCTCCTCTTGAAATTCACTGTCGTTTAGGTCATCCGTCTTTACAAAATTTGAAAAAGTTGGTTCCTACTTTGAATCAATTATCTTCGTTAGAATGTGAGTCTTGTCAGTTAGGAAAGCATCATCGTGTTTCTTTTGCTCCTAGAGTCAATAAACGGGTTTCTGAACCTTTTTTGTTAGTTCATTCTGATGTTTGGGGTCCTAGTCGAGTCACTTCAAAGTTAGGTTTTAAATATTTTGTAGTCTTTGTTGATGATTTTTCCAGAGTTACATGGCTTTATTTAATGAAAGATCGTTCAGAATTATATTCCATTTTTTGTGCATTTGTTACAGAAATAAAGAATCAATTTGGTGTGCCTGTACGTATACTTCGCAGTGATAATGCGAAAGAATATTTTTCCACTCCTTTTAATACCTTTATGACTAAGTCTGGTATTATTCATCAGTCCTCTTGTCCTCACACTCCACAACAGAATGGAGTTGCTGAAAGAAAAATTGGGCATTTAATCGAAATTGCTCGAACACTATTGTTGCACATGAATGTGCCCAAACAATTTTGGAGTGATGCAATTCTAACTGCATGTTATTTAATTAATCGCATGCCATCTAATATTCTTGGAGGTCAATTACCTCACTCCATTCTTTTTCCTCATGAATCTGTGTTTAAATTGCCTCCTCGTATTTTTGGATGTGTGTGCTTTGTTCATCAGCTTGCTCCCGGGGTGGATAAATTAGATTCTCGTGCTATTAAGTGTATTTTCTTAGGATATACACGAGCGCAAAAAGGGTATAGATGTTACAGTCCAGTTTTAAATCGATTTTTTACTTGTGCTGATGTTACTTTCTTTGAATCCACTCCGTATTTTATCAAGCAAAGTATGTCTTGTGAATTAGACCAGTGTCCCTCTTTTTCCTCTCCTGTTTTACCAGTCCCTTCCCCTTTATTACCTGAGTTGTCTAGTCCACCAGATTCCATAGCTCGATTATCTCGTCCTCATCTTCAAGTTTACTCTCGTCGTTCCATGGTTGAGAAAGTTCCTGATATGCCACGCACTTCACCAATTAACTCTCAATCTTCAAATCCAGGTATGACGCCCTCCTCTGAGTTAGATCTTCCTATTGCTTTACGCAAAGGTAAGAGACATTGTACTTCCCATCCTATTTCTAATTTTGTTTCTTATTCTCGTCTCTCTATGTCATATTTTCTCCTGTTGCAAAGATTACCTCTGTCCGTCTTCTTATCTCTTTGGCAGCAACTTATAATTGGCCATTGCATCAGTTGGATGTGAAAAATGCATTTCTGCATGGAGATTTGGAAGAAGAGGTATATATGGAACAACCTCCTGGATTTGTTGTTCAGGGGGAGAATCCGCGGTTGGTTTGTCGTTTGAAAAAATCCTTATATGGATTGAAACAGTCCCCGAGGGCTTGGTTTGGCCGGTTTAGTAGTGTTGTCATGGAGTTCGGTCTGACAAGATGTGGAGTAGATCACTCTGTATTTTATCGGCATTCTAATGCTGGTAAAATTTTATTAGTTGTTTATGTGGATGACATTGTGATTACAGGTGATGATGTTGTGGGGATTCAGAAACTTAAATCCAATCTGCAGGCAAACTTTCAGACAAAGGATTTAGGTCATCTACAGTATTTTCTGGGTATTGAGGTAGCTCGGTCTAAATATGGGATTTATTTATGTCAAAGAAAATATGTACTCGATATGTTGAGTGAAATTGGGATGTTAGGTTGCCGACCTGTGGATACTCCTATGGATTCCAATGTGAAATTAGCAGGAGATCAAGGTGCATTACTTGATGATCCTAAGCAATATCGAAGACTTGTGGGTAAATTAAATTATCTCACTGTAACGAGACCTGACATTTCGTTTGCAGTGAGTGTTGTGAGTCAATTTCTTGATACCCCTCGTACTAGTCATTGGGATGCTGTTATACGGATTCTCAGGTATCTTAAAAATGCTCCTGGAAAAGGGTTGCTGTATCAAAATCATGGACACAATGATATTGAAGGATATAGTGATGCAGATTGGGCTGGTTCTGCCTCAGATCGAAGATCGACTACAGGATATTGTGTGTTTGTTGGTGGTAATTTAGTGTCGTGGAAGAGTAAGAAGCAAACAGTTGTATCCAGATCAAGTGCAGAATCTGAATACCGCGCTATGGCTCACACTGTGTGTGAGTTGGTTTGGGTGAAGAGCATGTTACTGGAACTTGGGTTTGAACATAAACAGCCTATGAATTTAGTGTGTGATAATCAGGCGGCTGTTCATATTGCGTCTAATCCAGTGTTTCATGAAAGGACAAAACATATTGAAGTTGATTGTCATTTCATTCGAGAGAAATTGCTTGACGGGGTCATCAAGACATCTCATGTACCGTCTGTAGATCAATTGGCTGATGTATTTACTAAGAGTTTAGGGGGCTCTAGGGTGAAATATATTTGTAACAAGTTGGGTGCTTATGATATATATGCTCCAACTTGAGGGGGAGTGTTAGGAGAATATTAGTATTCTTATAGATAATAAATTAGTAAGGGTATTCTTGTAAATAGTCTGTTAGGTTTGTACTCCTATAAATACTAGTTGGTCACTCATAATAGTGTGACTAGATGTTTTCCTCCCAAGATACCTGTTGACACTCATAATCTCACTAAATGAAGTAGATGAAGAAAGCCCATCTACTATACTAGTATTTTGAAAATCATTTAATTGCCCGTTAATTCCTCCATAAATTTCATTATTTCATTAATTTTTTCCCTTCAACACTACTATCAAGTATAGCATCATCTCTTTAAGAACAAAGAAGTTGATATCCTGCAACAATGCAATCATGCCGAAAGTCAACAACTTGGTTGCATAAAACATAAAATTCAAGGACAACCGCATCAACAAGATAAAGTGCATATACTATCTGCACCACTTTGAACCGACAGAACTTGATGATGTTTGACATATGATGCCTGTTCACAGCATACAAGAACCAGATTGCCTCATAAAAAGGAAAAAGGAAAAAAAGAAAATAAAAAACCTACTTTGACAATGTCATTAAGAGAAATTTTATGCATCAAAGACAAAAAATGCAAAAGCATGATAAAACACGTGCATGAAGTTTATCCATTAATTCATCTATTCGTCTATTAAGTAAATGCATGAATGCATGAGATTTCATCAGATCTGGATGTTTACCAAAATTCATGCTCCTAATCATACTACAGCAGAGAACTAGGCTTAGTTGATGAAACAAAGCCCCAAAAGTACATATCTTATTATGCAATGAATATTCTAGGCAAAACAAGTCAATCACCTTAGTTTAGTTCCTATGCTGATTACATGACTTAAAACTGCATCAACATACAGAAAATGAGATAGACAAACCTTACACAAATTTGGGACAATGACTTGCTCAGAAGAATCATTTAAAGCTGCAATTGCAGACACAGCAAGTTTTGCCTCTGCTTGAGTCCCTTCCAAGCGCACCCTCTCCAAAAAATTGTAACAATCACTACATGGATAAATTCCATATAACCAATCAAAATAGTAACAAAAAGGACAACACAGAACTAATAGACTAAAGTAACATAAACATCGAAAAGATAGACAGCAGATAGATAGAGTAATAAGCCTTGTGTACATGGACCTCTTCTTTCTGCCAATTAACAAAAATTCTCAACTGGAATTCAGGGCTGCTTTTCAAATAAGCATAGCTTACCCACACTCATGCATGTAGACTCTCTCTCTCTCTGTCTGCCTCTCTCTCTCTCTCTATATATATATATATATATATATATATATATCAATTTTGCATTAGAAAATTTGCCAATAATCACGTCCTTTCTGGATGGGGATACACTTCCTGTTTGAAAATAAAAAGTACTCTTAACAAATAGAAGCATTCTGATAATAAACAGTTAGCACGTTGTTTTATTTTTATTTTTTTAACATAGAATATGCATCTCAACAAGCTATCTTCTTGGAAAATATTTTTTTGAGTTCAAATGAAAAGTAAACTACAGAAGATAATAACTATAAAACCCATTATACCTCAGTGTACATCTTACCAAATGCCAAAATGACATTGAGACTGGAAAACCCTACCTCAGCTTGATAGAAATATTTGATCCTTCTTTTGCTAGAAACTGAATAAGCTGCTCATTGAAAGGGATATCGTCATCAGCTAACAATTGCCAGAACTTCTCTTCAGAACTTCTAAGAAGTGAGGGAAAAGCACTGATAATAGCCTATACAAGGTAAACGAAAATTTGACTTTAGTACATAAGAGATACTGCTGGAATATCATTATATGAGTCCAGCAGAACAGACCAACACAGGTCTTCTTTCCATCCTTAATAACCAAGGATAAACCAAAATATGTATATGTGGCAAATCTATAGAAATTACATCTTTTGTTTATACATCTACTTCTTATGCATGCATGGCTATGTGCAAAAGATAGTATGAAAAAAGCATCCCATATAGCTACTGCTGTTCCAGGATTCCCCTATTTACCCAATGAGAGACTGCAGTAAGTATGAGATTGTCATGCAACTGCAGCAATTAGATCCATTCCCCATTTATCTGAGCCCTTGTTCCCTTGTAGCTGATCTTGAGGCTATTTTGGTTAAAATTATATATGAATTCAAGTCAGATGCTTATTTCTGCTTATTAAAAAACTCTTTGATAGCAAGGCTTTTTACTTGCAGATACACTCCTTATGCTTGAGTAATTCCAACAGCTATTGAGAATTATCTTGAAACAGTGTGTAAAAGAAATATTTGCCACCTTAATAACTCTTCTACACCCTGGAAACTGCATGCACTAGTCCAATTGTTGGAAAATTAAGAAATAATCTACTGCCTGTCACTTCACTTAAAAGGCAAAAACTTTTCTTGCTAGATGAGAATTAGAGTGACTACTTCCAATAACTCAAGCGTCTTGCTTGTGCTTCTACATTGCCTCTTACTACATCAATTTTATTCAAAAAAAAAGTTTAATTGGAACAGGATAATATTTCCTACTTTATCATTCTACATGAGTGGAAACTCAGTAGAAGGTTTCTTAGTTAACTGGAAGCATATAAAGCTACGGCCAAACCTTCTGCATTCATATGGGAAAAAAAAATTCCCATACAGCATACTACATAGACTTTGTCGCTGCAACAAGATTGCAAACATTGTATACCACACCAAGTTGGTAGGGCATATCTGCATTGGGTGGATTGTCAGGTGCATTATTTTCTAAACTAGAATTCCATTCTTTGATATCGTTATGAAGTTCTCAATTAAAGGAGAATTTAATTGTCAAAACACTAAGCTTTAAAACAGACACCAAACTTACTTCTCACAAATGCACTAGTGTTTCAAGATCCTGGTCATTTTTTTCCAAAAGCATGCTTATACTCAACCAATCAAGACAGGTTCTCTGCAACCAGTTTCACATAAGGAGATATTAAAAGTTTGCAATGTGGTAACACAGGCAGATATAGGTACTTTCACAACACTAAATGTAATTCTACTGCAATCTTTTTCCTTTTTGGCTCTCAATTGACTGGAACCTTTTTTCCCCCTCTTTGGACAAGGGCATTGTGGTACTCTATGAATTTAATCGTTTATGCTTGAATCACAAATTTGCACTTGATTGAGAATTGATTGAAGGAAAGGATGAAAACCTAATATCTTTTACCTCTGCATCTTGTTCATGTCCTGTGAGACACCACAAAAATTTTAGATAGAAAAATGGCAATAAGAGCAGCACTATGTAGCTACATAAAGAAGAAAGAGATCAACTTAAGTTGTATAATGAGCAATCCAACTTACTGAAAGAAGCAGCAGAGGAGAATAGTCCAATTTTGTATTGCGAACGCTCGTATCAAAAGTAAGATGGTCTAAGATACAGCTGACATGCCTAGAACTAAATATGTTTAACAAGCACTTGGATGACAGCAATCTCAAGAAATCAAAAAGTGGACTCTGGTCTCCAATCTTCCTCAGAAGGTTATCCTGGAAGAAAAAATACAAGATAAGAGGTCGATACTAGAGATGAAAAAGTTGAACTTGATACATAATATCAAATCAGACCACATGCAGAAAGAAAGTTGAGGGTTTAAAAAAAAAGAACAGTAATATTGAAAGGCCAAATCAAAGAATCCATCTCTGTTAGGCTACATCTTACAAAGCGACAAGCTGTAGCAATCTTTTTCAGTTCTTGTTTATACCCTTCTGATTTACAGGAATAAACAAGAGTAATTTCTCAGAAGGTAAACACGCCTTCCCTATTTTAATGGAAACCAATAGAAGGATATCTCAACATGACTGTTAAATGTAATAGTAATACCATTCAATCCTGTTAAATTTTGAAAGGCAAGTCAAAATTCACTCAGTATGATGGCACAAAGAGGAAAAGTAAATGGATCTTGGAAGGTTGCTTAGGCGAGAGCTACTTGACAACAAGCAAAAAAGAATTGCAACCATAGCCAGAATCCTTAATGAACAAATAATAAGTCATCTCTATTCAGAGTCAAGTTTATATCAAATTCATAACGCAAGCATACAGGGAAGATGATCTCTAACTGAGTGGAAAGGCAATAACATAAGGGCTTTATCATGTCAACACCGGAGACAATAGCTCAGCAAACTCAGAATTTTAGATCATGGAAAGTATATGATGAAACACAGGGGATAAATCCATAAAATCAGGAAGTTCTTAACCTCCAAAACAGCTAAGCCTTAATGAATAGAGCTTTTCCTGACAGCATAAATCAAACCAATTGCTACGGCCACAGAAAAATGCTGTGTCATTTTAGTGAATACAAGTCTAACCACTTAAGAAGAACATACAAGACATGCATCTCTTGACAATTGTGCTTGTTTTAGTTAGTGCCACTTACATTACTGACTGTTATTTGCTTACACCCCATTTTGCAGTTGTAGCAAACACTGAAGAATCTAAGCTGACTGACAATTTGCTTAAATTGTCAATCAAGGGTGTTGAAGATTCAAAAATCAGATTCAATTGGATAACTGAAAAAAGCTTCCTAAATGCCAAAACAGTACAGTCCCCCTGCCCCAAAAAGGCCACCTGAATGCTGTATTTTTCTCTCTGAATATCTCTCCTCTTCTTCCCGCTCTTCCAATTCTTTTTCCAGGCAGAATCCCACTGGTTAGATCCATCCCACTGTCCAGTTCTCCTTTTTCTTTCACTTCAATTACAACAGTAACAATAACCCACAGATCCTCCCACCTGAACCACCCTTCTTCTAGACAACTAAACATCCCTCCCACACTATTTATTGCTTTTTGTTATTTCATTGCATGGCTAATGTTGCTGCTTTTTTGTTCCAAAATATTGTTATTAATCACATTTTCCAGTATTTCTTCCGCAAATCCTGCTGCCATCCTTGTGATGGCAATAGGGTGCATCCAATTGTACTTGGCAGACCAGCAGTGGGTTTTGGAAAAATGGGTCATAACCCACCTTGGCCAACTGGTCAGGGGACTAACATTGTGTCAGTTCATCTTTGGATCATTTGAACCCACAAAAGCCAATAATGATCAAAGCTTTTTGTTTTACATTTCTATTTTCTTCTTCACCAGAAAAACCTCGCAGCCACAGCTTAACCTCAAAATACAACTAACATCTCCAATTACCTTCCCCTCGACTGTCGCTCACTATGACAGTTGCCCGTCCCTTTACAGGACATCAAAATCACTCTCCGTCTTGGGCATAGATAACAAATCTGTGGTCACAATGAAGCAAAAATCACCAAAATCACATACAATGGGGGTGTATAATCTGGGCACCATTATCTTCTCTCTGCCACTGAGCAAAAAACTCACAAATTCTACACATAGCTTTTTTAAACCTGTAAAGAGGTATCTTGGGAGGAAAACATCTAGTCACCGTATTATGAGTGACCAACTAATATTTATAGGAGTACAAACCTAACGGACTGTTTACAAGAATACCCTTACTAATATATTATCTACAAGAATACTAATATTCTCCTAACACTCCCCCTCAAGTTGGAGCATATATATCATAAGCACCCAACTTGTTACAAAGGTATTTCACCCTAGAGCCCCCTAAACTCTTGGTAAACAAATCAGCCAATTGATCTGCAGACGGTACATGAGATGTCTTGATGATTCCATCAAGTAATTTCTCTCGAATGAAATGACAATCAACTTCAATATGTTTTGTCCTTTCATGAAACACTGGATTAGACGCAATATGGACAGCCGCCTGATTATCACACACTAAATTCATAGGTTGTTTATACTCAAACCCAATTTCAACTAACATGCTTTTCAACCAAACCAACTCACACACAGTGTGAGCCATAGCACGGTATTCAGATTCTGCACTTGATCTGGAGACAACTGTTTGCTTCTTACTCTTCCACGACACTAAATTACCACCAACAAACACACAATATCCTGTGGTCGATCTTCGATCTGAGGCAGAACCGGCCCAATCTGCATCACTATATCCTTCAATATCAGTGTGTCCATGATTTTGATATAGCAACCCTTTTCCAGGAGCACCCTTAAGATACCTGAGAATTCGTATAACAGCATCCCAATGACTAGTACGAGGAGTATCAAGAAATTGACTCACAACACTCACTGCAAATGAAATGTCAGGTCTCGTTACAGTGAGATAATTTAACTTACCCACAAGTTTTCGATATTGCTTAGGATCATCAAGTAATGCTCTTTGATCTCTTGCTAATTTCACATTGGGATCCATAGGAGTATCCACAGGTCGGCAACCTAACATCCCAACTTCACTCAACATATCGAGTACATATTTCCTTTGACATAAATAAATCCCATATTTAGACCGAGCTACCTCAATACCCAGAAAATACTGTAAATGACCTAAATCCTTTGTCTGAAAGTTTGCCTGCAGATTGGATTTAAGTTTCTGGATCCCCACAACATCATCACCTGTAATCACAATATCATCCACATAAACAACTAATAAAATTTTACCAGCATTAGAATGCCCATAAAATACAGAGTGGTCTACTCCACATCTCGTCAGACCGAACTCCATGACCACACTACTAAACCGGCCAAACCAAGCCCTTGGAGACTGTTTCAATCCATATAAGGATTTTTTCAAACAACAAACCAACTGCGAATTCTCCCCCTAAACAACAAATCCAGGAGGTTGTTCCATATATACCTCTTCTTCCAAATCTCCATGCAGAAATGCATTTTTCACATCCAACTGATGCAATGGCCAATTGTAAGTTGCTGCCAAAGAGATAAGAAGGCGAACCGAGGTAATCTTTGCAACAGGAGAAAATGTTTCTAAGTAGTCTACTCCATACACCTGAGTAAATCCTCGAGCTACCAGACGAGCCTTCAATCTATCAATAGAACCATTAGGCTGCACCTTTATAGTGTACACCCATTTACAACCAACAACAGGCTTACCTGAAGGACGAGGGACAAGATCCCAAGTACCATTTTTCTCCAAAGCAAGCATCTCTTCCTGCATAGCTAACCTCCAACCAGGATCATTGAGAGCATGGGTAATAGACTTAGGAATGGATACCGAATCAAGAGATGCAACAAAAGAAGAATATGACAGAGAGAGACGAGAATAAGAGACAAAATTAGAAATAGGATGAGAAGTACAATGTCTCTTACCTTTACGTAAAGCAATAGGAAGATCTGACTCACAAGAGGGCGTCATACCTGGATCTGAAGATTGAGAGTTAATTGGTGAAGTGCGTAGCATATCAGGAGCTTTCTCAACCATGGAACGACGAGAATAAACTTGAAGATTAGGATGAGATAATCGAGTGGTGGAATCTGGTGAACCCGATAACTCAGGTAATAAAGATGAAGGGACTGGTAAAACAGGAGGAGAAAAAGAGGAACACTGGTCTAACTCACAAGACATACCTTGCTTCATAAAATAAGGAGTGGATTCAAAGAAAGTAACATCAGCACAAGTGAAAAAACGATTTAAAACTGGACTGTAACATCTATACCCCTTTTGCGCTCGTGCGTATCCTAAGAAAATACACTTAATGGCACGAGAATCTAATTTATCCACCCCGAGAGCAAGCTGATGAACAAAACACACACAACCAAAAATACGAGGAGGTAATTTAAATATAGGGTCCTGAGGAAAAAGAATGGAGTGAGGTAGTTGGCCTCCAAGAATATCGGATGGCATGCGATTAATTAAATAACATGCAGTTAAAACTGCATCACTCCAAAATTGTTTGGGTACATTCATGTGCAACAAAAGTGTCCGAGCAACTTCGATTAAATGTCCAATTTTTCTTTCAGCAACTCCATTCTGTTGTGGAGTGTGAGGACAAGAGGACTGATGAAGAATACCGGACTTAGTCATAAAGGTATCAAAAGGAGTGGAAAAATATTCTTTCGCATTATCACTGCGAAGTATACGTACAGGCACACCAAATTGAGTCTTTATTTCTGTAACAAATGCACAAAAAATGGAATATAATTCTGAACGATCTTTCATTAAATAAAGCCATGTAACTCTGGAAAAATCATCAACAAAGATTACAAAATATTTAAAACCTAACTTTGAAGTTACTCGACTAGGACCCCAAACATCAGAATGAACTAACAAAAAGGGTTCCGAAACCCGTTTATTGACCCTAGGGACAAAAGAAACACGATGATGCTTTCCTAATTGACAAGACTCACATTCTAATGAAGACAACTGACTCAAGGTAGGGACCAACTTCTTCAAATTTTGTAGAGACGGATGACCCAAACGACAGTGAATTTCAAGAGGAGAAACAGTAGCAGGGCACGCAATCGGACCATTAGAGTTGAGAAAGTAAAGACCATTATGCTCATGTCCTCCACCAATCGTCCTCTTTGTCTTCAAATCCTGAATGACAACAAAATCAGGAGAAAAAATAACTGAACACTGTAGAGATTTAGTAAGCTTACTAACGGACATTAGATTAAAAGGCAAACTGGGAACGTAAAGAACAGAAGGCAGCGGAAGAGATGAGTTAATTTCTACAGTGCCTAGTCCTTTAACTTTAGTTGTAGATCCATCAGCTAAAGTAACATGAGGGAAGGAAGTAGACTCTTGAAAATTAGAAAAATTTCTAGAGGTACCTGACATATGATCAGTAGCTCCGGAATCAATGATCCATGAGTCAAAATTAGATGATGTGGAGAGACAAGCCATAGCATTACCTTTTTGTGCTACAGAAGTAGAGGGAAGAGATGCGTGATTTGCAGTTTGGTACTGCAGAAATTTGATATAATCTTCCTCAGATATGGTAACAGTCTTCTGAGACCCTTGTGCTAAAGAACTTGATTCAGTTTGATCAGTGGTAACCGTATTAACAAACCGAGGTGGTTTTCCATTTAAATCCCAACAAGTATCACGAGTGTGATTCTTTAAACCACAATGATTGCACTCACGGGTGCCTCGACCTCCACGACCCCCACGACCTCCTCTACTTCTTCCTCCACGAGAGCCACGTCCAAAATTAAGTTGCTCTGTCCGATTATTGTTAGCAATTAAAGCAGATTTGTCATTAATTAAAGCACCATCACCCTGTGCATTGTCCTTAGATGCAGAACGTAAGACCCGAGCATACGCCTCTGCAAAGGATGGTAATTGTTCACCTGCTAAAATTTGAGATTTGATTGGTTCAAATTCCGGCTTGAGACCAGCCAGGAATTTGAGCACAAGCATTTGTTCTCTTTGCCTCTGCATAACCTTGATATCACTTGAGAGAGGCATTACAGCATTTAATTCCTCTGAGACTCGCTTAAGATCAGCAAAGTATTCAGTTACTGTCTTGTTATCTTGTTGCAACTGAAAATACTCCAAAGAAATATCAAACATCCGTGAGAGATTACTGCAATATAATAACCGGACATAATCCCAAACTTCTTTTGTTGTCTCACAATGAGAACACATGTAAGCAATTCGTGGCTCCATAGAATTCCATATTGCTCCAAGAATTTGGGCATCCTCTTGAATCCACATTAGTTTCTTGCTATCCTCCGTAGGAGAGTCATCTGTGAGATAACGTTGCTTTCCTAAGCCTGTCAGATAAATCTTAACAGCTTTTGACCACTGTTGATAATTGGTATCATTCAACTTCCAATTTGTGATTTGAGGCATCACCATTGGCATAATATTAGTGGACGTCACAATACTTTTTGATAAACTTTCAGCCATAGCGAATAGCACTTCAAACCCAAGAAAGGGTCAAAACTCGAGACGCGTGAACAGTACGCGTGAACAGTGCCGGCGTGAACAGTGCGCCGTGAACAGTGCCGCGATGAACAGTGCGGCGTGAACAGTACTTTGCTAGATGTTTAACCTAAACCCTAGGACTCTTGCTCTGATACCATGTAAAGAGGTATCTTGGGAGGAAAACATCTAGTCACCGTATTATGAGTGACCAACTAATATTTATAGGAGTACAAACCTAACGGACTGTTTACAAGAATACCCTTACTAATATATTATCTACAAGAATACTAATATTCTCCTAACAAAACCCAAGAAAGAATCCATTGGTAATTTTTTGCTCAAATCTAAATAAAACATTTAAGATCTAAGGCTTGAACATTCAAATACCAATGAAGCATAGCAAGTTGTATAATCAATGTCGTTGTCAAATATATCTATAACAATAGATGAACATAGTATGTCTAGTTTCTCTCAAGTGCTATCAGAATGAAAGACTGGATGCCCGTAGAGCTGCTACTAGAGCCACAGAAGGAAAGCTGCTGTAGGAGGGAAAAGGCTGAGACGTTATCTATTTATTTATTTATTTCGTTCTAGGGCTGATGGTATTCTGTTGTGTTGCGTAAATGAATTGGTTTAAAACTTGGATATTCAATGGGCACAAACACAAACCAATATAAGCAACCCAACCTAACTAAACTCAAAGCCAAACTAGACCGATAAAACCTTCCAAATTTCTCAGCTGAGTTTGGCAGATGGCTGGCTTTGGGTTTGTTTTGCCAGGTCTATGCCATCCTAACTATAAGATATTCTTGTTTGCTGTTTGCTTTGGAACTTTGATTGCTTTAAAGTACGCCAATATTTTTCAAGCAGTCTTGAATCTATTTTTGCATGCTTCTTTTACCAAAACATTTTCCACTACAATTTTCTCTTTCTTCCTTTTTGTTTCTCTTTGTTTTCTTTTTGGGATTAATTTTTATACACTGTCAGTGTACAGATTTTTTTACACAAGCAGGTTTAGATGAACACCACATCATTACTGTTCAAATTTTAAATTCACTTTTTGTCCATGTATCATACATCTATACCTATTAGCATAAAAAATCTTTACACTCAGAGTGTATATAACATTAATTCTTTCTTTTTATACTAATTTGTAGAGTAGCAATCACACATTACTGAAAAACATTCAGATTCAAGTGTAGCAGCTTGATTGGCCTTAGCCTCGGATATCATATTGCAGCATACTAACAGACTTTGACCTTGCATATAAGCAGTCTTTCAAAGTTTCATGCTTTAATTATCTCAAAGTCAGAAAACCATAAACTTTTACCCTATTTGATATATCCACAAAAAAATCTTGACTGCAGTTTTGTCTCTACCAGCTACTGGAGACTGTTCAATAATACATTCATGTTTCTAAATGCTAAGAGACATAAGTGATCTGCTCTGAGAACAACAAACATTAGTAGCCATGTTCATGATTGCAATGCAGATTAAATGCTATGTCCAGGCAAAACAATGGCCACCTTATTGAAAAGCTCTTTAACTGCAACATGTTGCTTCTATTTTGGATAGCTCAAGCCTTTTAAAGTCTGGTAATAAATCAACAGGGAAGTCCTCTTCTCTTAATTTCAGTGAGTAAAACAAAACTAGGATTGGTCACAGAAAAGAAAAGCATGTAAATGTAAGACAAAGCATGCAACATCTGAAATCTGTGTAGGCATCCTCATTTTCTGCCTAGACCATTCATTTCACTGGAACAAACCAACATATGGCAGGAGAATGTCATTTCAGTTGGTATTTGTACCGGATCTGCTATGTACCATACCTGACATCTACTCCCATGAACAAGTTGAGAAAAAAAGACTCCAGAACATAAAGTGAACAAAAACAAACAAAGAGTTCAAAAAAATAAAACAAGCTAATACAAAATAAAAAAATAAGGACCAGTTGAAAATTTTAACTACTCTCATCATTTGCCTACCAGTAATAGTTTTTATATGGAAGACAAAATGTTCAGAAGCTAACAGTAGCCGTTTCAAGATCAGTGCTTAGGAAGATAAGCAAATGTTGAGCAGCAATAGTTAAGCAGATTATCATCTCTTTGTATTGTAAGAATCAAATTTATGCTCGAAATAGAAGATATCCTGTACAGCAATAAACTTGTCTGCAATGTTTCCATCCCATTTTAATAGCTATGAATTCTATTTTCTTATCTCCTGATTTTTCTCATGGTTTAACCCTATTGCATCATTCATACAATTCCTGAAAACACAAATTAAAGTCATTTTCCAACATCAATTACAATAAAATATCATTTAAAAAATTAGAACTCTGAAAGCAACAAAATCTGACTTAAATTTAGGAGCAATCATGGAAAAATTATTCTACAAGATGGCCAAATAACCAATTCTCTTAAACTTTTTGGAAAGCCAATGCAAGTTCTGGAATACTAAAGCTCCTATTAAAAAACAAAACTTCATTCTCACAACAGCACTGACTTTATGCTCTATGGATGAGTAAGTGGACATGATCTCTATTAAACAGAGTCAAGTAGAAGCAAAGTAGAAAACCAATTGCAAGGATGACAAACTTACTCTAGTAGAAAGAGCATCTCCGACGTTTATCAAGTCTGCCAGCATTTTGAAATATCATTATCATCGACTTGATTCAGCTTATAAAAGCACTCTTCTGCTTCTGCAGGATCAGGAAACAAAGCTGACATTTTTTTAAATAGAGCTTTGGTATTCCTTTCCATTTCATCAGAGCCTATCTCCTGTAAAAGCATAAGATTTTAGACAACTATTAGAAAATGAATATATTGGGTTGATATATGAAAAATATAGTGCAAACAATAAAACCCTTGCTCTCATGTTTGTGATTCATAGAGAAAAGAAGTAAAAACAAGTACCATTTTGCCAAAAAAAGGATAAAAGTGCCAACTGCTATTAGCAGTAGTCAAATTAAGAAAATGGAACTGGTGTGCCAATTGTAATTTAAGAAAGTAAAACATTATCAGACCAGTTATACCAACTAATAATGTCCTCTTCTTATGTCGAGTTTTGCACGTTTTTACTGTTAACCTATTCGCAATTTTTTCTTGTCATCTTCCAAATTTTGTTTCATAATCAGCCGAACTAAGAGGTGGAGAATAAATTCTCTAAAGATACAAGTGTGGACGACGGCTACAGGAGAAGAGCAATGGGTCTACAGCTTAGTTTATTGATTTTAAAACTATTTAAAGATTATTAATGGACCCTGATCAACTGTTCCTAATGCCTTTTGAAAGATATCATTCCAATTTAGGAAAGGAGAAACTATTTCAGCAACAATTAAGAGAAACATCAGCAATTCAATCTCAAATAGAATTTTAATATATTCTGAAAGTTAGCATCAGCATCTAGAGAGCTAATACTGAATGTTGGCTTCAAAATGCGTGGTCCAGTATTGCAATCATACCTATACACCCTTCTTAAACAGCTGTAACCAAAATCACATGCACAGCACATTGCAATTGCAGAATTAAAGAAAATTAAGCTTCATATAAGTATGCTCCAAAGCAAGTCATCACCTGGTAGGCTCACATCAACACTCATTAGTTGAATTAATGACCAATTGTCCAACTCACTAGACTAAAATGAACTTAACACATGGAAACATTGATCCAAACAAATAAAAACTGATGAATTCATTTGAAACTGCATCCTTCAAGAGGCATACACTCATGATATATCAATCTAAACATGGTGAAGCATATTTCTGGTCTAAGGAAATTATCATTAAACATTTTCCAATGAAAACTTCTAATTCTGAGTATAATCATGGGGAATTTCAGCAATGTAATATTAATCTGTAAGATCTGCTTTATAGGTGCACAAACACACTGGACTGAAGTGCTTAAATTCATAACTAGGTAGCCTCTATCTAGAATCTGGAGTGAACTACGGCACAGGGGAGTTATATATCCACTATTATTCATATCCAAAAACACTAGCTACATACATACTTCATTTGAAATCTCCAAAGTTTTAGAATCATTGTTCTTTTGACATTACTATTACATTGTCATGTGCTTATATACTTTAACTCTGCTTATAAATCATTGGAAATTTGAGCAATCCATTTTTTGTAAAATTGGTCAATCTGATTTACAGATGTAATATATGCAGTGGAATGAAGTATTTAAATCCACAATTACAATACTTCCATCTAGAATCTGGAGTAAACTATGACACTGGAGGATTATACATTCAATATGACACTGGAGGATTATACATTCAATACTACTCATGTCCAAAATGAGGCATAAGTTTTCACAAATTTCACAAGAGATCTCAAAGTCTTGAAAGCATTATTATGTTGACTATAGTGTCAGGTTCTCATGTGCAATCAGTGCCATAAATTGTGAGTATGATGCATTCACAAATTAGTATGCATATGGAAATTTGTCTGTTGGAGAACCCTGCCCGAGGGGAGGGGTGCTTGCAGAGTGAGATTCATAGATACAACCTCAAGTTTCAAAGAGGCTCTTATCCACTGGAAAGATCTTCATCTCTACATGCAAAATAATCCTAATCGCTAGTCGTCTAGTAACTAATAACAATTATCCAGAGCTTGTCATCAAGTAATTAACAAGAATTATCCAGGCAAAGTAAATAAACCTCATCGCCACACAAACTTACGTATAACCATGAAAAGAAAACTAAGGAGAACAGCTTCAAAAGTAATTAATCTTCAAGTCATGAGGGCCCACTAAAGGAATTTTGCAGGATGACACAGGAACTAACAGCTTGCTAATTAGCTAGCTTAAAGTTACCTCCTCGTTGACCCGGAGATGTAAGTAAGCTTGCAGTGCATTCCGTAACCTGAAAGCATAAAAGACATGAATAGAGAAAATACTCTTTGATTAAGTTAAGCCAACAACTTGGGACCAATACCTTCTTTTTTGTGATAGAATCGCATTCAATGCCTTCACATGCAATGGTGTAAAAAGAGAGGACAAAAAAAATCCAGTGATTTGTTCTTTCCTCAACTGAAAGTGAAACAGGAAATAGATCTTCTGCTAGTACATACTCCAGGCTTTGTGGCCTGAAAGTTAAAAAAATTTAGTCAAAAAAATGTGTATTGAAACAGCAATGAGTTTTTATCTAACAAAGATTGATGAGGGAATAGACTTTACCTGAACTCCTTGCAGTCTTTGTCATAACAAAGCATTAAAATTTTGCAAGGTATTTGCTCAAAATGCATCTTGATATCTCCAATACACTTTGTACAATAATCCTGATATAGTTCCAGCAACTTCTGCAAAGCTTTCTTTCTGACAGATACCTGTTCTTTTTTTAAAAAAAAAAAAAATCATCAGCTCTATTCTCCTTATTTCTTTGATAATCAGAATCGCCACCCTAAACAGAAACTACAAAGGCGGGAATAGATGTAACCTTCTTATCACGAAGCCTATCAGCCACTTGACTTATTAGTTCATTAGTAACAGAGCCTATTTGTAATCTTGCTACATCACACACAATACTCACAGCCTGCATTCGAACTCTATCATCAAAATCTAAGAGTCGACTCTCCAGCTCTGCTGCTCATTTCAAAGAATGTACAAAAAAAAAAAGACAAAAAAAAAAAAAAGAAGTTTAAGATTATCTCAGATAGCAGAACAATGTTCATGAAATGCAGCAGAACAATCAAATTTTCAAAGCTTACTGAGAATTTGTGATGATCCTGTCCCAGATGGATTGTTAGCATACAAAGCTCTACCACATGAAAGAGCACATAACCTTACTTCAGCAGACTTATCCGTAAATCTATTCAGAAAATCCATGAAAAGGTTGTGATACTCCTCAGCAATGTTGTGGCCAGGCAAAGAAAAACATTTTCTAAGTAAATTAAGAGCTTTTATCCGGACATCAACCTGATCTGTCTGCAAATCATATTACACAAATGATTAATTAAAGCATCAAGAGGAATGACAAAAAATATTATCATGATATACAGATTGGTAAATGATTCTGAAAGATGATGCAGTCATAATATGATGACTTAGTAATCTCTAGTAGGATACCAGTTACCAGCAAAATCTATCCCATTTGCATAGTGAAAGGTGCTACTCAGAAAGGAAAATGACTCACAAGTAATTCATGGCTTAAGCTAGGGATTACAGAAACAAGCATTTGAGGAGCACTCCGGAAGATTTCATAGAGAATGTCATGGTACCACTCTTTAAGTTCACTCCCAATACTTTCTCTGTTCAAAATACAAGATCTTAAAAATGTACATATACAGCGTTCAAGCTTTTCATTGCAGTTCTGAATGACAGAAACAGCAAGCCGAGCAAAGCCACCAGATCCACCCTGCAAGAGACATAAATAAATCACCAAAGAGAAAAGGTATTAATCCATACTACAAAACAGGAAATATTGCAATAAACAAATTCTACAGTGACTCGTTATTGTAACGACCATCTAATAACCTTCTGAGTAACTTTTGTACAGCTAATCATGAGAATTAGTTAAGTTATCAGACAATTTATCTATTTGATTTAAAAAGCAACTGCAACAAGACTAAAGCAAGGAATCCCTTTTTAACCATGTATCTGAAGTACTGATAAGACTACTAACAAGCCTTTAATATTCAAACACCAAATGAGCCAATGAACTAGCAATTAAACATTACTTGTCACCAAATGCTTCAAGAGCAAAATTTTTTAAGTTCAATCACAAACGACAAAGCAGCCACAGAGCAAGGGAAGAATCATGGTAAAGCAGCTCTTCATCAATTAATAATTAATGATGGCTCTGAAAAAGAACTGTTTCAACAAATTAGTAACTATTGATATGTCCACAAAAGGGTCATCATTGACTGGACCAAAGGAGAGATGTCAAACTAAGGGTCCTGATTTGATACTCAAAGGTAGAGTAGAAAAAATGTTCAAAGACTGATAAAATGCTGAACTTTAAAACTGCAAGAAAGGAAAGTCCTTAAAAAGAATAAAAGTAGACAACTTAAAAGAAGAGTACAAAAGGGAGACAATCCAGCAACTTTATGCCAGAGATTTGGAAATAATCCGCTAAAGAACCCCAAAAGGTACCTCCAGCATACCTGATTAAACAGTCTAACCATCAAGAACCCCCCCCCCCAAAATGTTTTAATAAAAAACCTTGCACGTATCATACAGGTATACACCTACTCTTTTCGTCCATGAGTAGATATTAGACTCAATTCGTAATTCATAAAGTTCTCAATATGCTGCAGCAGGTGCCCAGACCTCATAATATCTATGATCATCTTAAGTCCTCTCGTGCTTAAGTAAAACAACCATGAGCAGAATAGGTAACAGTTTTCAAGGATAAGCAGAGAATATCCATTATGTCTTTGAGCATGCTAAGCATATGATAACTGCCAATATTATGTTGGTATAAACCTCTATTTTTTCATCCATTTTCACATGCAACTACAACTAACAAAATAACAAAATCATCTGAAAATAGGTGCTAAATATAATCAATTGCTATAAATATAAAAAGCAAAACTGCAACAAGACATTGATCATGCTATTTTGCACAAGCAAAGCATGTAGCTAACACTTGCCTTTGATTCTTTCAAAAGATTTTGTAAAATCACATCCAAAAGTGGCTCAGAAAATTTTTCCTGAAAAATGAGTGGCTCAAGATCTCTCTCTTCCAATTTGTCTTCCAAAATGCAAGCCATTATAGATGACATTGCATTAATCACACTCTGAGGATGCTGCTCTCTGCAGGGAATAGTTGAACTATTGTCAAAGAATAGCTTAATAATTAGATATAGCCTTTACAAAAAAAAAAAAAAAAAAAAAAATTATATTATGCGTAAGTGTTCAAAATTGTGATCAGATGATAACAAAGATAAACTGTCATGATAGGTTGGAGAATTATATTCTTCCAATGGAAATTTTTACAATAAGAAAGCTTGCAAAATAGGTTTCTGGTACCAAAGCTTTCGCGAAGGCACTTTGGTAAACTCATAAGCATATGCTTCTCTTAACTAACTCTATCTCAAGCATATATTAAACATGACAGCAGATACATGTTTCCTTTTCAAGACAGCTGAATGGTGCACATTCCAAAATAATTTCAGCTCTAAAGAATCTATAGCACTTAACTATGGCATCAACAAATTCAATACAGCAACATAACTTTCTATTTTCTCTTTCTGGTTAACACAAAAAAGGGCCCTTGATTGGGGCATGAAACTAATGGGATAAGAAAGAATAGTAACAGAAAAGCTCTTCAGATCTTATTTTTTCCACTGCACCTTGAAGCTTTTTGGTAGGTAAACAATCATATACCAGTAAAAGTCTTTTCATCGCCTGATTACAAGCACAATCCACCAATTTAAACAGTCTTTATAGCCTATGACATACTGTGTATCCTCTTCTCAAATTTTTACCATTCCGGTTACTCTAACTGTTTCCCGCATGCAGACTAGCTGATATCACTCTTTGAAGTCTCCTAGTCAACTTCAAGAATCATACTTCAAGTTTGCTATACTCTGCACAGATACTTGAAACCCTCTTTACCTCAATCCTGTCTCACCTTATTTAGTCTGCAGTTGTGTAACATTTTCCCCAATCTGCCAAGCTTATTAAGAGCCTCGCACACTTTGTATCCATCAATAAGTTTAAATCTCATCTACCAATTTGAGTTTTCTCTCCTTAAGAATCTCATCTACCAATTTGAGTTTTCTTTCCTTAAGATAGCCCATCCAGCCATTCTTTCCTTAAGAAATCCTATCCAGCCAACCCTCATGGCCCTACTCTTCTTTCAGTAAGGAATTCTTAAATCCCAAAGCAGAACCCATAAAAGCAAAAAAAACTTTGGTTTAGGGTACTGAAACTTGTTATTTGATTGTTTCATGTTAGTTTCAGTTTTCTAATTTGTGAAAGGGCTTCTCTGATTCCTGCACAATCCAATCTTGGCATGTCTTACCAAACTTATTTTCTAACCTTTGTGTGCAAGCGTCCTGCAAGCCTAAATTTTTTTTTTAGTCATTTTTTGTAGAAATTATTGACTTATTTGTTTTCCTTTGTGTTATTGTGAATGCAATATAGTTGGTTGTGCTCCATGAATTCTTTAGTGACTGACTGTTGAAGTCTAAACAAAAATTATAAGCATAAAATGCGTAGCCTTCCCAAAAGGCAGAGCAACATAGTTCTCACTGATTCCAGGTAAAAGAAGGGCATGAGCAAACACAGATGAAACAAGAAAATATAACCTCGCAGCACTGAAAAAGATTTTGAACATTTTGAGAATTAAATCCTCGCATCCAACATCCAGCATTAGCACACAAAAGTTCAGCTTAGCAACTGTCTCCAGCAGTTTCACCCTTCTTGAAAAATATGGGCTTTGGTAATCACCAGTCTCCGCAAATATGCTTTGAAGAAGTTTAAATATATCCTGCAACGAGAATCAGTTGCCCATTAACATATGAAAGATTTCCCATCAAATGGGAAGAAAATACATGGGATCTTAACAAATTAAAATGGAGACAAGTGAAGGGAACATGGTAAACAAATCACAGGAATGTAACTGTTACCCTGAAAACATCATCACTGAAACCAGGATCTGGAGCCAAGACCCGGATAATCTCACAGAAGCAGGTCGCCACCAAAATTCGAATATCTTTATCCCTGTGCTGAAGCAGGCCATGCTTAACAAGAGAATCACTCAGAGGTTGTATTACTGAATTCAGGGATTTCAACTGTTTAAATTTTCCCAAAGCAATAACAGCTTCCTGCAATGAATTCAATTCGATTAGGGTAAACATCAAAACCCACATCCCCCAAGTAAATACGCTTAAGCATGTTTTAGGCACATTGAGTTTCACCAATTTAAGTTGAGCGCTGTGTTCTAGAGTCCAGAATTATACATGATCTCCCTCACTTTCTCCCACGATTCCCTAAACAAATAGAAGCTAAGAAACCTAAAATCAATTAATTACCCCTTAAATCACAATAAAGTTCACCCAATGAAACCGCCCCAAAAAAAATTCAACAAAACCCAGAGAAACCGACAACCGTAAAAGCGATAATTGACTTCGAAATGTAAAATATACAGCAAAAAAATTAAATACAATCAACTAATTACCCCTTAAATCACAACAACGTTAACCCAAATGAAACCGCCTCAAAAAAATTTCAACAAAACCCAGAGAAACCCACAACCGTAAAAGCTATAATTAACTTCAAAATGTAAAATATACCACAAAAAATAAAATAAAATCAATCTGCCCAACAGCTAAAAATGAATAAAGAGTATTCGAGGACAGGTAATTACTTTTAGCAATTTGACAAGGGAGTCTTTGTTTGGGCAAGTTTTGGAAGCTTTGAGTTGTTTGCCAAGTCGGGAAATGAGCTGTTGCGCCTCGGCCTCAGACTCTGCTGCCGCCATTGCTCTGTTCCCAAGTTTTCTGATCTTCGAAGATTAATCTTAGTATGAATTATTAAACCCTAGAAATTTATGCATTGAGAGAGGAGAGGCAGAGGGAGTGTCTGTATTTGAAAGAAATTCCCGCCTTCGCAATGGGGGAAAACGTGACAAAGGCAGTTGTGGATTAACAAAATAACCAATTGACCCCTCAAAACGTTAGTATTTCTACTAGGCCTCATTTGGTTTGTCGAAAAGAAAAGTAAGTGCAGAGTGTGACTTGTGAGTTGTGGCCAAGCATGGACAAAGGGATTTATGAAGCACTTCATGAAATACCACAATATTGAGTCGAGATTCTAGCAATTGTAGTTCTCATACATCTCCTAAGGAAAAAGAAAACTATTTGGAGTGCAAGTTTTGGTAGAAAAATTTTAGAATATTTTTGACACATTTTTTAATCACTTTTTTTTAACTAAACATACATCATATTGCTACAATATATTCTTCTAAAAAAATAAATAAATAAATAAAATCCAAAAAAATTAATTAAGAAAAGGGAAAAGAGAGGGGGATACAGTTGCTTATTCTTTCAACTAACTACTCCGAAATAACTATTAATTCACTACCCTATCCACGCCAACCACGAGTCAAGAGATGGCAAGGGGATTAACACTAGATAGCCAAGGATAGACCCAAAATGCTAGTTTTGGGGGGAGGGCGCGTAGGGGGGCAAAATAGGTTCAACAGAGTTAAAGAAAAATTAGTGCTTGACATAGGTTTAATGGACTTAGGAAAATCGGTGTTTGATGGATGAATAAAAGTCATTTGTTGTGCAATTAGTTTTTAATTAATAGTTTGGTTAACAGGCGCCCAATTGGCATTTATTATGAGAGAAGTCACAAATGTTAGCTGTTTTTCAAATAAATTTGGCAAAAGTCACAGATGTTAGTGAAATTTTTTTGAGTTATACTCCAACTCTAAAATTCATCTCATTTCTAGAGGTAATAATACATAGAGTAAATTTTACATACACTGACAGTGTATATGCTATCACTATTGGATTTATGGCACATGTATAAAAGTTGAATTTTAAATTCAAAATTTGCATAGTTGTCATTCATCAAATGTTGACGGTAGATACACTATCAGTGTTAGAAAGATTAATCCTAATATATATACTAAAGGTGTATCGCTGTTGAATATATGACATATATACAAAATTTAAATTTGAAATTAGTTATCGTGCATCTAATAATGATAGTGTATACACTGTCAGTGTATTGAAAAATTAATCCTTCATTTCTAACCCCTTATATTTAGTACTGGTATTTTACCCCTAAAAGCACAATGAAAACTAGTTTGAAACAAAGTGGAAGATAAAGATCTTAATTAAATCAAATCAAGTTTGATAGCTTCCTCATACCTAAATCAATGAGGAAGACTACCATTTAAAATTTCATACGAGTCTAAAGAACAATTTAAGTCTTACTATTTGATGTTCGACTAATACTTTCAACTTTACACTAGGAAGTTTTTGCATTTTGTCTTCTTCCATATCCGTTTACTTTCTTAAAGACATATGACTTATTTGAAATTAAAATCCATTTTGAGTGTGTTTGCTTTCCAGATACATTCAAGTTGAAGGTGAAGCCAGGCAAGAAGTACATGTTATGCTTGAAAAATGCAGCAATGAATGACGAATCGGCTCCGTATGTATCAAGTGTTTGGAGTTTTTTTTGTATAAATTTTACTGTAATGGTGCATAGGAAAAAATTATTACTGTAGTTATTTGTTGGAGTATTTTTAGAATTTTAATCATTTCGTAAAACTAATCTATATTAAGTTCTCATAATTATACATAATAATTTTTTTATTTCTGAGATTAATCCCATTGTACAACTAGGGGTCAGTATATACTATTGCTATCTAGTTCAATGGCCTTGAAAAAAAATAAAAAGAAAGGAACAAAAGAGCACTGCACAATTACGAAGGAAATTAGCACTAGTCCACTCATCTCTCAAAATATAAAAGGTAAAACTACAATTAGCCCATTCAAAGAAAACAAAAAATTAAGAACTATATACAACTACAACACGTCAACAAAAACCTTGCCAATATCGGATGTAAGACAAGTAGAATGTGTATAGAACTAAAGGAAGGACCAGAATATAAAGGAAGCAAGCTGTAACAAAATATCAATTACCAAAGTTTTCACAAAACATCTTTTTTGTAGAGACTAATTGTTTTCCATTTACCGAGGATTTTTTAATTTTTGGTTTTTTTTTTATTTCCAAGTATGACCTAAACAATTAAATTTCTAGGAAAATTTGAGTTATCAATAAATTTGTTGTTATTGATTCTATTTTTTTCTTGCATTTTTGTAAGTTTTAATCACCATTTGTTCATTTTATAACAGTAGGAGCAGAATCTTTACCTCCCAAGAGTTGATGTTGGGAATTATGGAGTTACTTGAGAGAGACTGCTGCAAATTATGCTGACATGCCTTGGATAATTCTTGGAGATTTCAATATAATTAGAAAATGTTAGAAAAACTGGGCAATGAGACATTTGATTATGGTGCCATGGATGAATTAAATATATGTCTAGAGGAGATTGACGTAGAAGACTGAACTGCATCTAGCTATTTTCTTACATGACGCAATAAGCATGATGGAGAGGAAATGCAATATAGTAAGCTAGACAGGGTTTTGGAGAATGAAAGTAGTTCTAGCATTTTTATACATGTGACTAGGAATTTCTTCCACTATCATATCCTGATCATTGTCCATCACTAGTGAAACTTGCAGATTGAGTGGATTATGGTTCAAAACCGTTCAAGTTTCATGGGTTTTGGATGCAGCACAGAGGCTTTCAGAGTATTTTAGCTTGTGCATGGGCGACTCAAGAAAATAATAATCCCATGAGAACTCTTTGTGTAAACATTGAAAGGTGATCTTAAAGCTTTTAACAAGACGTTTTACAGTAATCTAAGTGGCAGAGTAAACCAAACTATGGATCTTTCAGTAGCTACTCAGTCCTTGTTGCATACTTGCAACCACAACCTCATAATAGTGATTTGTAGAATCTTGAAACGAAGTATCTCCTATCCTATGGAGACTTCTTGATTGCTGAAGAATAGTTCTTCAAGGATAAGTCGAGGGCGAGGTGGAAGAATGATAGTGACAAGAAAGAATTTTTCCACAAGAAAGTAGTGAAACATCAGGCAAAGAGCAGACTGCTTTCTTTGGTAACTGAAGATTGTACATGGTTGACTTTGAAGAAGTGAAATATGAAGATGTGTAGTTTTACAAAAGGTTGTTTGCTAGTCAGCATGCTCTTATTTACAATTTGAAGCTAATTATAAAGAAAAATATTACTAAAGGTCAGGTAGAATTGCTGAGTAGGGAAGTGACAAATAATGAGATTAAAACAGCCATATTTAGCATGAAAAGTGATACTGCATTAGGGACAGATGGCTATACCATAGAGTTCTACATATAGAATTGTTCACTCATAGGCGAAGAGGTATGTCGTGCTATGAGGTTTCTATGTTGCTAATTGTTACATGTATCAACCGCTAAATAGTACTGTTATTACCTTGTTACCAAACACCTAGTAAGCTTCTAAATGAAGGACTATAGACCCATTGCATGTTGCAATGTGATCTATAAGATCTCCTCGAAGGTCCTCACCAATCATTTGAAAAGGGTCTTACCTAGTTTGATTGGTCAAAACCAGAATGTATTTCTCAGAGGACACTTGATTTCAAAAAATATCATGTTGATGCAAAAGCTAGTGTATAACTACCGTAGAGATGGAGGTAAACCCAAGTATGCAATCAAGATACAACTCATGAAGGCCTACAAAACTGTTGATTGGAAATTTTTATTCACTATTATGAGGCTTATGAATTTTTTTGGTATGATTTATTGATTGGACTAAATTGTGTGTCACTACAACACATTTCTCACTCAATATCAATAGAGTCATAGTAGGGTACTTTGAAAGTGGAAGAGGGTTGAGAAAAGGAGATCCAATATCTCCTTATTTACTCCTAATAATTTGGTGGTCTTTTCTTAGTTATTGGAAAGGAACAATGCAGCTCATGGGCTGGATTACCATCCCAAATGTGAAAAGATGAAACTGTTTCACTTAATTTTTGCTGATGATGTATTTGTTTTAGGTGCTACAGAGAAAGCTATGCAACTAGTTAAGAAAACTCTTCATGAGTTTGAGAATTTGTCGGGGTTGAATCTGAACTTACAGAAGTGCAATGTATTCCTAGTAGGGGCATATATTTCTACGCGAATTACATGCACTAATTGCATATTTATTTTGGAGAAGATGAATTCTAAAATCTAGAGCTTGGGCATCTAGGCACTTGAATGATGTAGGGAGACTATTTAGCTCAAATATATAGTTAATAGCTTTATCTTTAATGGAGTAGCATGTTCAATCTACCCAAATCTATTAGCAGAAGAATTGAGAAGTTTTTGACATCCTTCCTATTGTCTGGAGAAAACAAGAGTCAATATATGGCTAAGATTAAGTGGAAGGAACTTCGTGTTCCTAAAGATGAGGGTGGGATTTTGATTATTATAGTTTGACACATACAACCATACTTTTATCATGAACCACATCTAGAACATATGTTCAAGGAAAGAATCCTTATGGATAATCTGGATACACATAGTGATGCTCAAAGATGGGAGCTTTTGGTCAAATCTCAATACCTACCAATTGCTCATGGAACAGGAAGAAAATGCTCCAACTTAGAGATGTGACCTGGAACTTGCTACGAATGAGGATTGCTGATGAGAAAGCAGCTTCATTTTGGTACAATCATTGGCATCCTATTGGTCCTTTCTGCAGAAGTTTCACTCGTAGATTATTGACTGCAAAATGCAAGAGATGCTATGGTTGGTATGGTTATTAAGAATAGTGAACGGTTGTTGACAAGAGGTAGAAGACTAAATTCAGAAGCACTTAGGCTACAATAATCTACTCTAGACTTTTTGCCTTATCTTGGGATGTGTGATACAATTCAATGTGAGGATGAGAAATCTGGAGTATGCACAGTTAAAGCCGGTAGTGAAACAATTAAGTATGGACCAAGGAAAAGTTGATTGGTTTAAAATGGTATGGCAAAAGAAAGCAAATCCTAGACATGCCTTCTTACTTACTTTGGCTCTTATGCAAAAGAAGGCTACGACTGCAAACTGAATTAGAAGTTGGGGTATGCCTGTGAATGACTCGTGTGTTCTCCTTCGAGCTGAGACTAAGTGTACATTTGATAAAATTGAAGTTTGAAAGTGAAATCTAAAGTTTGAATCCATTAGATTATTGAACTGTTAAATATCAAATCTGATACATTTGAGTGTATATCACTTAGAGTTAGCTCTAGAGTTGAAATTTCAACTTAGACATTTTTCATTCTTAATTAGTTTAGCGCATGAATTGATCCCACCGAGCAATGTATATCTTGTAATGAAGTCATGTCTGCAACCGTATATTATCATTCTTTTCTGATTAATAAATTTTACATTACTGCGCAAAAGGAAAAAAAAAAAAGAAAGCCCATTAGATCTAGCAATTTCAACAATGAATGCAAAAGCTATGAGAAGCAAATTGGACTTCAATACTTTAAAACACAGCCACAATTTGCACTTTTAACAATTAATTTTGGATGCTAATAGTTCCTAATCACAATAAAATATTCCTACTAATACGTTTAGATATACTTCAAATATATTAATACAAATGGTTAAATAATTCTATAATTCTATAATTTGGTTTATTGGGATTCCCTAAACATCTTTATACACCTATGTGCATTTTGCATCAAAAGGATGACACTTGACATGGTCTCATTGCACTAAGAGCATATGTATCATTTTTCTTTTTTGTTTCTTCCTTTCCAATTTAGTATGAAAGAAGTGCGAAGGAGGACAAGTAAGGTAATGAAGATCATAACAATTAAACAGTCATTAAAAACTAGGAAAAATGGCTTTTAACCACTATTTATACTTCTCGTGCCAACAACAACTAAAAATAAATCAATTATAAAGGTCTCATCACAAAAAAAGGTAATTGGAAGAATATCATTTGAAATTTATTTTGAAAGAAATTTTGAATGTATTTTGTTCCCTATGCTAAGGAACTACCTCCCATTTGAAATTGGGGAGTAATATATGCCCCAATATTTTCCAATCATCATTTAAATGAAGTCTATAAGCAAGTCTATAAAGTGGTATTCATCAATATTGAAATATAGCAACGCAAGGCTATAAACAAGTCTTATATCTCTAACAAATATTATTAACGAATAGTTTGTAGATGAACAAATTTGAGTAAAACAAGGATATCTGTGACAACCCCATCTCCTTCTAAGGCGAACCAAAGGGTTCGGCGGACCGCCTGCTCAAGTCTCGCCGAGACTCACTACAAAACTCAAGCATGAATATAATCGATGGTTCTTAAAAGTTCAAACGGAGTATATTATATCCACCAGTCCAACATACCAAAGTACAAGTCCAATACTTCATCTAAATTTTCATAATAATAACTTAAGTACAATTCTTATGTTTGCAATTCAAATCATTCTTACAATAGTATAATCCCCAAAATATCATGAGATTTACATTCACTTTAACCACAAGTACATCATACCATAAAGTTCGCAAATCTTTCAAAATAACCATTACATTTCACAAAGAAAATCAGTCACAACCCAGATAAAGGATAATCCACGGTACTCCAAATCTTTGTGCTTGAGTAACTATCCTTCTCGATCCCTGCATAGAACTAAAATTTTTTGGGGGTGAGCTAAAGTTCAATGAGATTTCAAAAGGGAAAATCAAATATTTATAAACCAGTGCGTAATTGCTACTTTGAAATCACGAGTAGTAGTAGTACTTTTGCTGGTAACTTTACTATGAGTACAACTCATAAATCATTTAAAATCACTAACGTACATTTGGAATGAATGACCATATAAATATATTTTCATGAATTTTTAGTCAAACAAATAGTGACTCATCCGACTAGAAGAACATTACAAGGATTGCTTTGTCTCAGAGATTAATGCTCATGAGGAGTCTTACCCGAGGAATGTCAATTAGGAGAACAATAACAGTACTAATAGTAAAGCAAACACAAAAGGATACAGTACTCGGTCCACTTCCCGTCCTTATAACTTCCATCGGTAACTCCTTCGGTTGACTGGCCATCACCTTATCCCTCCAGCGATAATACTCGAGTATACCAAAATACAGTGCCCAAGGTTATCAACCTATTCGACCGAGTCCGCTTTTGGCTCGAATAGGTGATAACGAAGGGGGGGAAGGCCTTGTTCAGCCGATATGATAAAGTACACATGGCCTACAGCATACGCAAATAACATATAAATAATGAAATATTTAACAGTTAAGTGATACAACAACAGTTAGGTCGAGTGCGGTAAAGTACACACTCGCCTAGGAATAAGTATTTTTCATTCAAGTGAACAAGATTCATCAAGTATTTGACCACTTAGGCATGTAAGAAGTGTTAGGGTGGTTATCTAAATTTAACCACTGGTGAAAACCATCACCTTTAAACCCAAGATCTGTATGACGATTATTAAGAAATACATTAACTGTAAAATAGGGGAAGCGTACCTGAATCCATATTGATAAACTTGATACTTGAATCTCTCGAGATTTGGGGTGGCCTTCCAGGTCAACAGGTCAACAGGTATTCACCGATCCTTTGAGAGAGGCTTTTAGTTTCTCTCTGGTATATTTCCTGACGATGGGATATCAGGGAAGAGTTATTTTGTGGTATTAGGAAATACGACAACTAAAACGATACCTGTGACCTGAGGACCATAACCCTATTTATAGGTAACATTTTGTTACCTTTTGGAACCCTATTTCAGCCCATCATAGAAATAGGAGCTCTTAAGTTTCTACACATTAAAGGCCCACATCCTATTAGATACATTAAATTCAAACTATATTTGATCACTTTAATTGGGTTTAACCTTAATTGACAGTTTGTAATACATAATTATTCACATATAAGTCCAATGTTGGATTAAGGATCCAATAATCCCCCACTTGGACTATATGTGTAACCTTATAATTATGTTTTGTAATTAACCGTATGAGTTCAAATTTACTGTCATTATCACAATGTATCTGTAACCAATTCGGTCCATCAATTACACCAATATAGGATCAAAGCTGCTTTTGTTACAATTTCGTAACTCGACCCATTAATGGTCACATATATCAATGCAATTGAATGACATGAATCATGATGTGGATGTTTAGCATGAAAATTTCATGTAATGTGATCAAAACATGCCTATTTCCAACTAGTCCACCTTAAATTTTCATGAGATCAAACCAAAGTCAGAGTGTAAATAAATTCAAACTTTATTTATGCATAAAATATCCTTAAATCCTTAATAACTGAAAAATATCATAAGAGCGTTAAAAATGACAAACTTCCACTAAAATTGTACATTATTTAATAACACGACACCCATATGAGCAGTATGCTCATGAAACATTTTGGGTGGCAATCCCTTAGTAAGCGGATCTGCAACCATGAAGTTTGTCCCGATATGCTCTATCAATAACTGTCCACTCTGTACTCTTTCTTTAGCAGTCAGGAACTTGATATCTATATGTTTAGATTTCGTCGAACTCCTGTTATTATTGGAATATAAGACTGCTGATTTATTGTCACAAAATAATTTGAGTGATCTTTCAATACTATCCACTACACGTAATCTTGTGACAAAATTTTACAGCAAAATTCCTTGATTGGATGCCTCATAACAAATTATAAACTCTGCAGCCATAGTGGAAGATGCTATGAGGGACTGTTTAGCACTCTTCCAAGATATAGCACCTCCAGCCAACAAGTACACATAGTCTGACGTTGATTTCATAGTATCTTGGCATCCAGTATAATCGGAATCAGTATATCCAATGATCTCTAATTCATCTGAATTTCGATACGTGAGCATGTAGTCTTTTGTTTTCTGTAGATACCGTAAGACCCGTTTGGTTGCTTTCCAATGATCTAATCTAAGATTACTCAAATATCTACCTAACATCCCAGTAATGTACGCAATATCCGAACGCGTACATACTTGAGCATACATTAGACTCTCTACTGCTGATGCATAAGGAATCTTTTGCATCTCTTTTTTCTCAAAAGCATTCTTGGGACACTGTTCAAGACTAAATTAGTTTCCTTTAGCCACAGGGGTGTCACCTAGTTTACAATTTTGCATGTCATATCTTTTAAGGACCTTTTCGATATAGCCATTTTGTGATAGTTCTAAAATACCCCGAGAGCGATCACGGTGTGTCTGTATGCCTAACACAAAAGATGCATCACCAAGATCTTTCATCTCAAAATTCTTAGTTAGAAATTTCTTGATTTCATGCAATAAATCAATATCGTTGCTGGCAAGCAAAATGTCATCAACATACAATACTAGAAAAATATACTTGCTCCCACAGAACTTATGGTATATGCAATCATCTACTAAATTTATTTCAAAATCAAATGAGATGATCACTTGATGAAATTTGAAATACCATTGTTGAGACGTTTGTTTGAATCCATAGATGAATTTTTTAAATTTGTAAACCATATTCTTTGGATCTCCTGATACAAAGTTTTCTGGTTACACCATATAAATCGTCTCATCAATGTTACCATTAATAAACGCTATCTTTACATCCATCTGATGTAACTCAAGATCGAAATGTGCCACTAGTGCCATGATAATTCTAAAAGAGTCTTTTGGAGAGACCGGAGAGAAGGTTTCTTTATAGTCAATACCTTCTTTTTGTGTAAATCCCTTAGCGACAAGACGAGTTTTATATCTTTTCACATTGCCTTTCGAATCCCTCTTGATTTTAAATATCCATTTACAACCAATGGGTTTCGCACATTCTGGCAATGGGACAAGATCCCAAATATCATTGTCCTTCATGGATTTAATTTCCTCATTCATGGCATCGATCCACTTTTGAGAATTTAAACTTTCCATGACTTGACGGAAGTTGATTGGATCATCTTCCATCAATCTAATGTCATCCTCATGTTCTTGGAGAAAAATAATATAATCATCTGGCACTGCACTTCTCCTTTCTCTAGTGGATCTTCTTAATGGCACTGATTCTTGGAGAGGAAGAGTTTACTCTTCTATAACTGTTTGTTCTTTTACATTGTCTTGATTTGATAATCATCTGGCACTGCACTTCTCCTTTCTCTAGTGGATCTTCTTAATGGCACTGATTCTTGGAGAGGAAGAGTTTACTCTTCTATAACTGTTTGTTCTTTTACATTGTCTTGATTTGTTATGTCATGATCTTGTTCAAGAATAGGATCCAAAACAAGATCAATGACACCTGTGAAAATATTAATATATTTTCCTTTAAAGACAATGTCCCTTACTGTATTTTCTCCCCCAAATTCGACATCCTCAAAGAATCGAGCATTTTCTGTCTCAAAAATTGATTTGGCTATGGGATCATAAAACTTGTAACCTCTGTATCTTTCAGAGTATCCACTAAAATAACAACTAATCGTTCTTGAGTTCAGTTTCTTTTCATTTGGCCTATAAGGTCTTGCCTCAACTGGACACCCCCAAACATGCATATGGTTTAAACTGGGTTTTTTTCCTGTCCAAAACTCATAAGGGGTTTTGATAGTTGCTTTAGTTAGAACTCTATTAAGAATGTATGCTACAGTCTTAAGTGCTTCACCCCAGAGTGACTCTAGTAAGGTAGAATGATATATCATACTCCTTACCATGTTTTTAAGCGTTCTATTTCGTCTTTCAACTACACCATTCATAGTGGGTGAACCCGACATAGTGTACTGTGGAACGATACCGCATTCCTCTAGGTTTTTAGCAAATGGTTCTGGACGTTGTTCACCTGAACCGTCATATCTACTATAGTACTCACCGCCACGGTCAGATCTGACGCTTTTGATTCTTTTGTTGAGTTAATTCTCAACTTCAACCTTAAAATTTTTGAACACGTCCAGTGACTGTGACTTTTCAGAAATGAGATATATGTAGCCATATCTTGAAAAATCGTCTATGAACGTTATAAAATATTGTTGACCATTCCACGCAAATGTAGGAAATGGTCCACAAATATCTGTATGTATAAGTTCTAAGACGTCTAAGGACCTATTGGCTTCAAATCTCATTTTATTGGTTTGTTTCCCCTTTATACAGTTAATACAATCATTAAAATCTGTAAAATTTAGGGGGTCAAAAATTTCATTTGACACAAACCTTTCCATTCTCCGTTTGGAGATATGTCCTAATTTCTTGTGCCATAATGCAGCTGAATTCTCATTGACTAATTTTTTTTTAACTCCTCTAGTACTCAAATGCAGAGATTCATTAAATGAGGCAATTGTGTCAATTAAATATAAATTATCGTAGTGCATTAAAGAACCAGAACCAATCAAATTTGAATCATGAAACAATTCAAATTTTTCATTTTCAAATGAACAAAAATAACCAAATTTGTCCAAAGTAGAAATAGAAATTAAATTTCTTCTAAAAGACGGTACAACAAATGTTTCATAGAGATCCAAATAAAATCCGGTCTTTAACAATAATTTAAAAACTCCAATTGCCTCAACTTGAACTGTTTTGCCATCGCCTACGTAGATATATCTTTTATTATCATTAGGCTTTCGGCAATTCAGGCAACCCTGTATAGACACACTGATGTGAGTTGTTGCACCAGAATCTAACCATCACGTGTGTCTAGGTACCGAAGTTAAATTAATCTCAAAACAAACCAAATTAAGAAGCATACATTTCTTAGCACGCCAAGCGTGATAGTTGGTGCAATGCTTCTTTTGATGCCCTTCAGCTCCACAGAAGAAACAACTATTCTTTCCTTGATCATTTGACTTCTTTTGTTGTTTCTTTTCTGACACTGTATCTGCAGCTCCTTTTTCTTTCTTTCTCTTAAGTCCCTTGCTTTTATTATTAGTGGTTGACACCAGATGAGCACTTTCTGTCTGCTCTTGCTTCAATCTTTCCTCTTCCTCTACACAGTGTGAGATGAGTTCATTTAGAGACCAAGTCTCCTTTTGACAGTTGTAACTCACCTTAAACTGGCTAAACTGTGTAGGAAGAGATATTAGAATCAAATGCACTAGTAACTCTTCAGAGAGTTTCAACTTAAGTGCATTTAATTTTGAAACAAGATGAGACATCTCCATGATGTACTCTCTGATATTATCTTTACCACTATATTTCATTGAAATTAGGCGTGTCAAGAGCATACTAACTTCAGCCTTTTCGTTATTGACAAACCTTTTTTCAATGTCCTGAAGGAACTCCTTAGCAGTTACAGTCGTTTCTGACATTGTTCCCCTGAATGCTTCTGGAACGGCCTTTTTAATGATTATCAGACACAAGCGATTTGATCTCTTCCACCTCTCATTATTTCTCTTTTCATCAGAGGTACTCTGATCTGTAAGAGGTGGGGGAGAATCATCCCTTAATGCAAGATCGAGATCCATTACTCCAAGTACTATCAAGAAATTTTCTTTCCAAAACTTGAAGTTTGTGCCATTCAGCATAGGAATATTATTGATGTTGGAAGTAATATTTGTAAGATCATTCGCAACTGAACAGAAAACATAATATAATTAAAACAAACTCACATAAATCAAAACAATAATAAATTCAAATAATGGTAGTCCCATCTCAAGATACCGATATTCTATTAATATTTTATCTTTGGACAAAAATATTAACTTCTAAGTGATATCTTGGTGCAGTAATAAATACTGATAATAATAACACGTCAAAAATAAATTTTTCTTTGGGCCAATTTATAAATCACATGTAAAATCTAAATAATTATCACGTATTTATTATTACAAGTGCACATGTAACTTCATTAAATATTGACCTTCCTTTGGGCCGATCAATATTCATAAAATTACTAGTACCCAACTAGTTATATTTTAAAATAAATTAATTTCCATAATAGATGTCACTTTGGTGGCATATTATTTCAATAAGTTTATTTCAAAATATATATAATCATACCAATATTCAAATTTAAAATTATCCAAATTAAATAAAAATTTTGATCAAAGTCAACTTTGGTCAAAACGTGGTCAAACATGGTCAAATCAATCAAATTAAATCATGACCTATTGGACCAAAGGTCCATATCCATAATTTGACCCAAAATTAACATTCAAGCTCAAAAATTTTCTTGAAATCCATAAGTACTTTATAAAAACTACATATTTAATGGGCCATACATATGGATTTTATAGGGCTTAAATGTCCTATTTAACTTTATTAGGGTTCACTTAAAGTAAATAAACCCTAATTTTCTTAATATAAATATAGACATATTTATCCATAAACAAAGAAACAGGTTAAAGAGCTCAAGTATTAACCAAATTAATACTATGGACAAAAGTTGAAACTCAAGATATTCCTTGTCAATTTTAATTCTTAAAATCAAGGAAAAGGACGAAAGACCTCCCGAAGCCAGAAGACAAATTAGCTTACATCATCCAAACATGCGGATCCCACTTGAATTTTATGAAACGAAGACAATGAATCAACGTAGCTATAGTAAGTACGGCCATAGAAATGATAACCGAAACATGTGACTAAATATTCATTAAGCTAAGCCAAATTCTTCAGATGTTAAAAGTAGAGAATCGGCCAACTAATATTGCAAGTAGAAACAATGAATTGTACAACTAAAGCTGCACTATGGTGGGACCCACATGCATTCTTTAAAAAGCCAATACATTGAATCAATGTATTGAACCAATACGTTGCAAAAAAGGAATCAATGCAATTGATAGTCTGACACCGTAGCAATCAATCATGACCAGAATAGGATTTGACCAAAATTCTGTGAATCAAAACCACAACCATCGACTATCTTGCTTTATACTATCCGGTAAGCACGATAATGACAGAAACCTCAATTCATATGGCTAACAATTGACCATTATAATAGCATAAGAAGGCAATAAGTCGGCCAACTGAAGCTTGACTAAGGTAGGACCCACTAAATTCCATATAACCAAATCTATGAATCAGGCATGAATAACATCATAACAATTAATCTGTACATAAAGACAAAACCATATCATGACTTATTCATCATGCGACGAATCCATGCATTCATGGTCACAATTCAAAACAGTCTCGATTACCAAGAATTTTCTTGTTTAATGGCCTATGTGCATGTATATATATATATCCAAAAATCGAATTCATGAGACAGAAATATATATATATTTATATGTTTACATATAAATTACTAAATCCAAATTATTTCCTAATAATCAACCATATGGGCTCTGATACCACTTGTTAGGGTGGTTATCTAAATTTAACCACTGGTGACAACTATCACCTTTAAATCCAAGATTTGTATGGCGATTATTAATAAATACATTAACTGTAAAATAGCGGAAGCGTACCTGAATCCATATTGATAAACTTAATATTTGAATCCCTAGAGATTTGAGGTGGCCTTTCAGGTCAACAGGTATTCACCGATCCTTTGAGAGAAACCTTTAGTTTCTCTCTGGTATCTTTCCTGACGATGGGATATCAGGGAAGAGTTATTTTGTGGTATTAGGAAATACGACAACTAAAACGATACCTGTGACTTGGGGACCATAACCCTATTTATAGGTAACATTTTGTTACCTTTTGGAGCCCTATTTCAGCCCATCATAGAAATAGGAGCCCTTAAGTCTCTACACAATAAAGGCCCACATCCTATTATATACATTAAATCCAAACTATATTTGATCACTTTAATTGGGTTTAACCTTAATTGACAGTTTGCAATACATAATTATTCACATATAAGTCCAATGTTGGATTAAGGATCCAACAAGAAGCACTTATCAAGTCACATCACGTATATATATATATATATATATATATATATATATATATATATATATATATATATATATATATATATGCAATTATACAAACAGTGGTTATAAAAGTTCGAGAAGCAATTTTGTGCAAAACAGTTTGGAATCCTTCACCGTAATCCGGAGCAAGCAAGAGCAAAAGCAGGAAATTAAAATAATTTTTCGGTGTCCTCTGGATCACCTAAGATTAATCACAATCACGAATTACCTAGATGCTCGATCAAGACGAATAAAAGAAAATCTCTTAGATACACACACTCAAGAGCCTCAAACTCAAACAAATCAAAATAGGAAGTTTTCACTTAGTCATTGGAATAATAACCAAAAGGAGTTTAAAAGTCCCATTTCCAAGTTAAATCGTGGCAAGGACTATCAATTTCAAAAGAAGAGTAAAATGCTTAATTTGGCACGGAAATCGAGAAAGGAGAAAAATGTGTTCGTACTAGAAAATTTTCAATAAAAGCCCAAGTACTAGAATATAAGTGAAAAATCATGTTTTCTAAACTTACGAAGTCAAAGTTTCCTAACAATCACTTTTTCCATAATAAATATGGAAGTTAAAGTTCTAACTTTCAAATAGGAAATTTAGTGAAATCCCTCAAGGATTTCTCTAGTTAAAATGCTCAAGGCCAAATTTTCAAGTGTTTCGGTTTATCGAAACCAACATTCAACATAAAGTTTCAAATTATAAGTGAGCATGTTTTCACCATAAAAATAAGTTTGGAATATCCCAAGAGTCTCAAAAGAGTGGCCTAAGCTCTTAAAAGAGCAAGTAGGTTCAAATCGGAAAATTTCACTTTTACGCGTGAAACTTTGAAAAATCGGTCCGGAAGTTCAGAAAGTCCAAAAATAGAAAATTTTATACCGTCAGAAACTTCATGCGAAGCATAACAACTTTGTAGAAGACCGTTATCCAAAAGTCAAATCAAAAGCAAGTCAATTTTTCAAGTGAAATTTCTGTTCATAGAAGATAGGGCAAAACAGTCCCCACTTTTCCAATAATAGAATCAAAACCAGCCTTTGAAATTTGATATGCGTTCCATTCCAGTTTTCAACAAAAAAATGAACGGAACTCGATTCCACCGTTCCTAGCTCAGAAATAAAAGTTTGAAGTTCGCACAAGCTTAAGGACTTGTGAGCTTTGTTTTCCAGAATTTCAATTCTGACACACTTTAGTAAAAAGGCCATATCTGGCTCTATATTTACTCAAATCAGGAATGGTTGATGGCATTGTAAACTAGATTCACAAGACTACATTTATACAGAAGAAATCGTTTTCAATATCCAAACACAAGTGGTTCAAAAATCAGCAACAAGTTGCAATTTCTGGACTGTCCTCGGGTGAACAGTGGCTGTCAATCAGCAAACTTTCAAGACTCACCACGGATCACTCGGGATGAACTAGAAAATGACCTTGGTACCATTTTAAAGCTATAAGAGTCTAGTTTCAAATGCCGCAAGTAGCACTTGATTTCGATCAACGAGCAAACATTATAGCTACACCAATGTTGCTGGTCAGAAAATTCTGGAGCTTGTTCCAGTTTTGCTTCTTTACTTGTAACTCAAAATTTAACCAACCATTTGGGTTGATTTTTGGTAGAAAACCACAATACACATAGCAAAACATCTCTTCATCAATTTGGAAGCTCAATTAGCACCAGAAAATTTTTGAAATTACAGGGCAGCAGCAAACAAGAAAGTCGGGCAGCAAGTCAGAAATTTTCCAGGGTTGTGACTAAACTTTGAGTGCAATTTTGGTGTACCAAATCAGAGGGTTTTTGGCTGAAATTTTGTACACTTAAAGCTAAACATATCAGCACTCAAATGGATCAAAAAAAAAGGCACCAAAATATGGGCAGAAAGACAGAGTAAGAAGGTCAAGAATTTCGGTCAGCAGTCCTCCCTTCTCTCGGTTTCCCTCTTTTCTCTTCCTCTTCTAGTTTCTACCATTACAACTCATCAAAATCACACTCACACACACATTACCATCTTAACAGCCCTCAAACAACAATGGTGGGAGTTCATAAAACCCACAGAAACCAACCAAATTCAACTAATAACAACAATAAGGAAGCTACAAGGTTCAAAGCTAGAAATGAACCAAGAAAGCAAGGATTTTGTGTGTTACCTCTTGGAGCTATGAAACCTAGCAAAATCAGAATTTTCCTTCCCAAATTTCACCACCATCAACCACCCAATCCACCCTCAAAGCCACAAAATCAGCTCCTCCACTTAGCTAGGATGAAAACCCACAAGTTGATGAGGAACTTTGATGGATTAGGTGCAAGGTTTGAGCAGAAAATTGGCGAGCTCTTCTTCCTTTATTTTTTTCTGGTGAGGGCCGAATTTAGAGAGAGAAAGAGGAGAGAGATTGTTTCACAAATTTTTAAGTGTGTTTTTGGGGAGAAAATGAAGCTTAAAGGCTAAGTTTTCAAGGTCAAACCTCGCTAGGTCCGTATAGGGTTTCGCACGACCACTTTTCGCGCTCGTTTGCTACTTTTGTGCACTAAACCTCCGAGGTAATTCCTCTAGTGCATTAATAGTACATTCTTAGTAGTCTAATATCAAATTCTTAAATCTCCAAT